TTTTAGAACCCTCATTATCTTATCACGGTGCTTGATAAGTGGGACGTCTTGGTACAACGGACACGTGTCTTATATGCAAAAGGTCTATTTGGACTGAACTGTAATCGTTAACGATTAATCGAATTCACGTTAGAGGGGTTTTCATTAATCCGTAAAACGAAGTGTACTAATTAGAGTCTAATAGTCACAAAGAGACAATAGAAAACAAAAGATTTATCGTGAGGTAGTGCTTTTAAGCAGTAAAATAATAAATCAAAACTAAGGTGTATTTCACGGGTTTATCAAAAACCACTCTAATAACTGTTGGTAACGCCAGTGCGTTACATCAAAACACCAAATGCGACACAATAAGAGCAATACCCAATAGTCTCATGTAGCCGTAAACCGATATCTAACCACAAGAAACCCATGAAAGCCCTTCCCCGACACTGGCCCGAGTGAAAGCTTTAGATTAATTTAAACTGCTACTTTGTAACTCGAAGTTTATTGTTACACAACCATGTGACTGTCACTGAACTATTATTGGTGAAAGTATTACTAATGTCATGTCATATAAGCACCGTCAGGAACATATATTCAATGATAAGAAGTACCAGTCATCGAAAATACGTCTAGTAAGTAGTCTTTTGATCTTAATAAAGATACTTTGCATATTTAACACTTATTTACTGGGACCGAGGGAAACAGTATGATTTGTGGTCCCGAGACCGCTGATGTTTCACGAGGCGGAGCCGAGGGAAACATCAGCGGTCGAGGGACCACAAAACATACTGCTTTCCCGAGGTCCTTGTAAATAAGTGCTTTGTTATCATACCAAGTGTCAAAGAGACAGGAAATTCGCGAAGATTCCATGTTCAATCTGATGTTTCGTGAAAGAAAACGTGTGAATGAATTTTGCAAACCCGCGCTCAAATGTGTTGCTTTCTGGTTTCCGGTTTTTATATTTTTCAATCACGTGACTTCCGGTTTTGTTATTCCCGGTCCATAACATAATATTCCCCTCTTAGAATGGTCGCCAGGAAACAGTCGAATTTCTTCACGTTCACGTGAAACACTCTCGACCAATAGAAATTGAGGAAAATTGAACTTTGACACTTGGTATATAATAATAGTATATAATTATGAATTGAATCCGATATGAGAAATTTTAATTCTATATGATAAAAATATTAGCTTTTCATTTACAATTTTTTTATAGACGACTGCATTAAGAAGTACTATTATTAAACGCTAACTACTAAGAAATAACAGCTCTTACGCACACCGAACATAAACTAAATAGAACCATAAGATATCATTAAAAACTAATACCACGAAGATGTTGAAATCTCCAAATCAATCGATTTCCTGAAACCCCTATAGCCCTGATCGAAACCACATTTGGGCTGTTCTTCTTTGTAAGTCAGCTACAGGACAGGGATCGAATTGGAATTTAGCTTTTTCTCTTCTTTTTTTTTTTCCGTGTTTTTTTTTCCGTGTTTTTTTCCGTGTTTTTATTTTTATTTTTTTTATCTTCTTGGTTTAAAAAGGATGCAAGATATTCACCTTCATTCCTAGAATAATGGAGTTCCTAAGCTAATGTTATTGGTTTTGATTTGCATATTTAAAAATGTAAAAGTAACTCATTTTTATCGACATGCGCACTAATTATCGCCACTTCTTAGGCCATCTATGTAGATGCACATTTCCATGCTCATTATAGATTATTTGCATATCGTACAGCGTGGATTATCTTACAGTTATATGATTAACTTTCCGTAAACCGGTTTAGTCGGCCGAATATCGTCTTTTKTTCGAATTGCAAACTCATTATCGCCGCTTTATTGGCTCATCTAGGTCTCATTTGCTCTTTGCAGCCTACAGCATCATCTGTGTCACAAATTAATAATTAAGCTTGTGATTGATACAAGTATTGAGTTCTTGGTTCGGACCCATCATTATTTATTTTAGTGTTCCCATAAGTATGAAGACTTTGGTACACCGGTTTATGACGGTTTTCCTGCGTTAGTGACTGATATGTAGATTGCGACGACGAACCTGTGGTATTTTGCATTTGCTTTGGGTTTGTTGCCTGTGATTTTGGCTGAACAGTTTCATATATCTGTTGCTTAGGTTTAGGTTTGGGTTTCGGCTTGGATCGGTTTTTTAATTCATTAATTGGTTCATAGTAGCCAACCCTTTTATCAGATGGTATGGTTTGTGGACCAGCAACTTTAGTTTGTACCTCTGATGGATCTACTGCACTATGTAAGTCTATCTGCTCGTATGTGGAGCCTGCATGGGCAGGTATAGGGGCCATTGGCAGTCCTTCCTCTGCGTCAATTGTATTTGTGTTCTGTTCAATTATACAAAGGAAATTAAAACTACATTTGTAAGACTTTGTTTTCTTTCAACTCTAGAGGAAAGGTCGATCATGGTGCAACACATAGAGGTTGTCCAGGTGGTGCAAACTGATCCGCAATACTGTCGTAAAAATAGCGTCACTTCAAAACTGAGGTCTCATGAAGACTGCAAAAATTGACCAGCGAAAAATAAATACACGACTGCTATTGCAGTAAGAATAAAACACATTAATTGCTTGC